AACGGTGATAACAATAGTACTAAAAATAAAAATGGATATGATTCTAAGCCATTGGAAGAAAGAACAAGAATTTTATATGTAGGAACAGTTATTTTCAGTTCATATATTTGTTTTGGTATTCCTTTAATTGCATTTCAGGAGAATGATGAGGAAAATATAGGCAACGATTCTTTAGATAAAGCAAGCATTTTATGGTATTGTTGGTCTTAATAAAGGCTATAAAAAATAAATCATAGATCTTTCATTTGACGAAAATTATGATTCTGAAAAGTAGGTACATATCTATGCATATACAAATAGTAATATAGTTTAAAAAATACATTAAAAAAGAAGATTATGTGAAACGATTATACATAAAGCAGGATAAATTAAAATGTATATCACCCATGAAATAATTTTAAAAATAAAGCCGACACACTAAATACTAATTTCATAAACACGCAATAATAAGTTAAATAAATAAGTGTAAATTATATATGTTATATATACTGGATAATTTTATAATAATATAATGATTACTATGTGTTCACATACATGAATAATATATACTGAACATAGTTTTGAATAAGACAAACGCCAAAAATTAAAGTAAATAAGCAAGTATTAATATATCGAATAACATTAACAAAATAAAAACATACCATAAACACTGAACAATGAACCCTAAATCCTGAAACCCTAAACCTGAATATTTTTTATAATGCATAGTTATATTCTAAAGGTGTTATAATAGATTATACATATAACAGTGATAAAATATTATCACTAAAAAGTCTGTTAGAATATATAAATCAGTTGTTTTATATATATATTTTAAGTATATAAGATCATAATAAAAATACTTATTAATTTTTATAATATATATTTTCATTTACAATTTAATATAAGTTTGATAAACTATATATTTTCCTCATTTCACTTGCATATATATTTTTATTTATTCTTTTCCTATATTATATATTAAAAATTCAATATTAATACATATAAATTAATATTAATTAAATTTATTCCGTTTTTATAGTTTATAAAAAAACTTTTTAGGCTTATACATATCGAAAGGTAGTATTATTTACTTTAATTTTTTTTTCATTACAATGAAAATTATATTTCTTTACGTTTTTAATATAATGTATACAGAATTTTTGAATTTGATTGTGTAAAAAAAAATATATGTAGCATATGTTATTTATTTATTGGGATTCTATGTAAAATCAATGAATTATAACATTGACAGGATGTTTAAATATTTTAGTTAGTAAAAGTATTTTTTGCTTAATACTTTTTTTTATTTTTTTGTAAATATCATATGTCTTTAAAAAACCATAACTTTATTTATTTCAGATCATGATGCTTAAAAGAGAAAATTGGAAAGAATTTGGTGTAATGTTAATGAATTATAATATTTTTATATATTACATTCATTAAAATTTCCTCTGTTTTCCAAAATATTTTAATTAATTTTTTTAATTAGTATATTCATTTTTTCATTATTTTGTTCTTTTTATTTAGAAAATAGTTGTATCATTTAGAGAAGAATTACCATCAGAAAAATTCTATAAAACTTTAGATGATTTAAAGGGTTTTAATGAGTACACTGAATACTGTAAATTCTTAACTTCTTTTAAAAATGAATCCGCTGTTAGAAATTATTGTGCAAGGATTTTAAAATATTTAAGTAGTAATAAAGAATTAAGAAGTGATTCCAATGTCTATGATATATGCCAACTTTTAAATTACTGGTTAGCCAATAGATTGAGTATCATTGCGGGTTATAATGATCCAAATAATTTATGGAAAATTTTTGGATATATTACCAATATATGGAACAATTTTATTATGGATACATTGAAAAAACCTGAGTCCGAAACATGTAATCCTCTTATGGGAGAAATTATTCCTCATGATTGGAGAAAGAGGAAGGAACTATATGAATACTATGTTGATTATAATTACCTTAGTCTTATGCCTATATACAAAAAAGGTGATGAGGAGTATTGTACATTCATTAGAAACAAAATTTTATTATATAATTATTTTAGGAGTATTTGTATAAAGGATACAACAGATTTCTGTGAAAAATTTAATTCTAAATATATAAGTTGTGACCCAAATAATCTCTTGCATGGATTTGAATGTGAAAAAGAAATAGACGAAAAGGGTTTATTAGAACGTCGAGAGAGAGAATTGCAACGAATTCCATCACATAATATAACCATGTCTTTGCATGAATCGCAATCTCCTGGAATGTCCATAAGAGGAACACAAACTTCTAGTGTTTTACAACTAATATATAATAGCTTCATCCCTTTAAAAAAAGCAAGCGCTGTAGTTCTGGGAATCATTGGTATATCTACGATTTATGGATTCTTATATAAAGTAAATAAATTTTTATTAATTTAAATAAACTGTATATATTTGTTTGTAACATACATTCCTTTTGTATATATAAATAATAATTTAATGTATTAGGTATTTTATGTAATATTCATTTATACCATAGTTTACACCTGTAAGAAATTGGATCCATAGAAGATTTGCTAATAAAAAGGATACTAGATGTAATATATATTCTGAGTTCAATGCAGCATTTGATTATGCAGATGAATTACATAATCCCCATTACAAGCTTAGAGATGGACATTATATAGGATATCACTCAAACTAATTTCTTTTACAATCAAATAGATAATTATAACTATTAAATAAAAATATATATGAACACGTAGAATATATATTTTTTAAAATATAATGGGGTAGATAGGGGTAATAATTTGTGTAAATAAAATTCCATATTGTTAATCGCAATATTCTAATAATATTTACATTTGCAATAAGAAGGAAAGAAAAAAAGAATAAATTGTGCAGAATTAAATAATAAATCATGTATGAAAGTGAATTATTTATATAAACTCTGATGTTTATCATTATATATAATTTTTCCCCATAGAATATAAATAAGTTATTTTACAAAAATACATCTTAAATTAAGTATTAGACAAAGATATAATGGAAATAAATAAGTAATATTAGATAATACTATTTGATATTTGGTAAAATACAATTACATAGGTTTGAAAGATGTAAAATTTTACTTCTCATCATTTTTAAAGATAATTTGAAACACGAGCACATCAGCAAGTGAGGGGTGTGATTATATTTAAACAATGAAAAGCATATTGTACTATTTCTTTACAATACATAGTATATTTAGGAGCATTTAATATTAAATATATTATCAATATTCCGTAATATTTAATATATTATTTTTTAAAACATTTCAATTGTTGTATTTTAGTGATGCATATGTTATATTAATAATAAAATGAAATACATTATATTGTAACATATATTTTATTACTTTACTGAAAAAGCATTTAAAATATATATTATTATATATAGTTAAAAGTTAACATTATTTGGAACTCATTTAAATAAATTTATTTTTTTAATACCTAACTTCTATAAAAGTTTTATATGATATTAGTCCATAGTGGCTTATAATATTAATATAATTTGAAATATTATAAATTTAAGTAAATTTTTATTTAAATATGTACAATATATGTTACAACATAAAATGTGTGCTTATGTGTTTGATACTTCTAAGCATGGTTAAGCACCCTATATAACAACTCTATATATTTATAAATATATGCTCTATAATGCAAATATAGATAGTTCTTTCTTTAACTTAATATTATTTATTTATAAAATTTTGAAACATTGCTTCTTATGAAATATATTTATGCTAAATATGTTATTTTTACATTAGTTACTTGGTTAATTATACATGAAAAAGTGACATTCTGTTACACAATATTATTTTTTCATATTATCAAATGAATAATTCAAGAATGGAATGGATATGCACATTGATTATATAAAAAAAAATTATATAACTTTATAATTTTAGTTATGATATAAATTCATATTCATTATAATGTATTATGTGTGTATACTTGTCTTTATTCTATAACTCTAATTATATATAAAAAATGACTATGTTATAAGGAAATTCTAAAGTCATATATTTAAGTATCATTCTCGTAATAAATTTAAAAAATCCATGTTTTATATTCACAATTTTACCTATAAAAACATTAAAATTATTTTTATTATTGTTTTCTTTTTTATTAAAAGAACAGAACAAAATTAACATAATGTATAAAAAATTTAATCATATGATGATAATTATATATATGTATAAATTCACTGGAGAAGGAATATTCTAAAAATTTTTGAAGAAAAATATATATATTAAGAAGAAAAAAAGATATAATACTTTAATTAATATATTATGGTAAATATTTACTAATGCTAAGATTTATATATATATTAGACCCAAAATATATACATATTATATAAGTAAGATAATTATAAGATTCAATATTCTTAAAAAAATATAAATATTTATGATGTTGTAGTGAATAAAATGTTATATAGAAATATTTAAAAAATTGTATCAAAACTAATATATACTATTTTTATTTATTTTTTATAGTATATATCTATTGTATAATATTATATATAATATCATTATTAAATACATTTATGTTTCATTTAATTATAAAAAAATGATTTGAATTTCTTATTTATATATGTGATATATTTAATTTTTAATATCCCCCCAATGAATCTTACTTTCTACATGTTAATCATAGTTATTCCATTCACACAAGTAACATTTTTATATTACATTGTTAAATTTTTGAATTATAAAATATATAAGTTAACAATATTATTTATGTTTAAAATAATTTTCACTCATATTTCTACACTTATCAATATTAGTACTTAACGATTATTTATGTTATAAAGTTGTGGTAGTTAAATTGTGTTTATTAGAATAACATATATAGTTATTTTAAATTTTGTCCTGTTATATACTTACATACTCTTAGATTAATAATAAAAATACATATACAAAATACAAGTTTAAATATATATGTAATTATTATAAAAAATGTATACACCGAATGAACTAATATGCAAATGTAAATTTATGAATATAATAAAATAATTATATTACATGGTTATTTAATACATTCTTGTTGTAATATGTCAAACATCTTATAACTAGTTCGTTTTGAATTCTATTGTTGATCCCTATAATCATATTTTTTTTATAAAATATTCAGTGCATAAATATGAAAATTACGTAAATTTTATAGAGTTATATTAATAATAGTTTAGTTCTATTTATATAAATATAACAGAATTTATATATATGTACATTAATTAGAATTTTCTAATCCTGCTAATCATATATTCCACTGATGATATAGTTGTGTTATTAAAATAAATATAATAAAAATTATACATTATTTTTTTGTATATTCTTGATATTTTATACTAGATTATGTTACATAAAAACAGTGCCAGTAGGTACTTCATTTTTTTATTGTTATATATATAATTATATTTCTTCTTTTAATTATATATAACAAGAAATTTAGCATTTTATAAATAAATTTTAATATTTCTATTTTTATATCAGTAGTAATAATACGTAATGATGATTATTTATATTTATGTATTATTATAAATTTGTACATAATGATGATCATTACAATTCTTTTTATTATATGAAAATATATAAAAATATATATATATTTATTATCATGTATAAACAAGTAATTGTAATATATTTATTGTGCTATCCTTATTTAAAATTATTTTATTTTTTTTTTTTTTTCATTTTATTTTGATAAAAAGGAACATCCTTTTAATTTTTTTGGGTAAATAAAACTATGCTAAATTGTTTAATAGTAATCATAAGCTTTTCATTGGTATATACAGGAGGAATATCCTATTTGATTCTTTCTATCATTTAAATTATTGTACGTGTAGTCAAATGTATCCATTATGTTCAGAAGTTCTTTTTCATTTTTATTCCACATTTTCCTTATCTTCCATATTGTTGATTGTAGAAATAAACCATACGCAGTATACTGTCATTGTCAGAATAATTTTATATATATATGTGTATTCTTTATTTTATATAATTTTTCAAGAATAACACAATGAAAATTGTAATTCATTTATATTTTAAGAAGTTAATTTAACTTTAACCTTATAAAGAAAGAAAGCAAACATTAATGTGCTAAATGATATAATAAATAAAGGTAATATAATTGTGCGTAATTTTGTCAAAAACGCATGCTATTTTAGTTTTTCTTCTTCTACTAGCATATATATCATATAATCATTTTAAAATTTTTCTAGCCATGAATATAGACTTTTGTTTTTTGGGAGATTACATATTCCTAATAATTCCATGTACTTGTCATAACAATTACTAGGATTAGGACATCCATCACGCAATGGAAGTAATTCATAGAGATATTGCATTTTGTAAATTATAGAATATACATTCTCATCCAAATCATTCAAATGATTCTTACATACTTCAGAAACTATCTTATTATTATTATCTCTTATGCTTTCTTCAATCATTATTTTGTAAACTTCTTGAGTATTTTTTTTTTTCGCATTTAATACATCTTTTTAGTATGTCTTTTAGAATAAAGTTGAAATATTCACATGTTGATTTTTTATTTAAGTTGGGAGTTTTAGCTTCTATATATCCTAAATATCCTATAAGTTCTTTACATCCATGTATAAAGTTCGCATTAGGCTTGTTAGCAGCCACCAAATGTTTGTGAATATTTTTGCATGGTTTAAAAAACGAATTAAAAAAATATCGGTTTTTATTTTTATATATTTTAAAATCCTGCATACAGTTGGGTATTATGTCGTCAAAATTGTACTAATAGAAATGTCATAATGCATATAAAAGATTAAAATAATATTTAAAATAACGTATTCTTTCCTATGTTCATAAAAATATCACTATTTTCAAACTAGTTAAATAAATTGTAACTGATATTAATAGTAGGAACTTACATCATTATTTATAACTGTTTGATCAGTAGAAACCATGTTTAATACAAAATGAAGAAAATAAAATTTATATTTTTGTAATTATAAATGTTTGTACTTAAATGTATCGTACTATATACTATATTTATATAAAATGTATTCTAATACAGAATACATTTTTTTTAATTATTTTTTTTAAATATTTATTTTTAATTTATTCTTCGTCCATACTAGAATATGATTTTATAATCGGTTATATATAAGGGAAGAAAGTTTTCACATGATTGAATAATATGTAATAAACATATACAATTCTGAAATTATATAGATATACAAAATGATAAGAACTATATTTTGTATTATTGCTATATATATAATACAAATATAATAAAATAGTTACGCAATACAATAAAGTAGGAAATATATATATTAATATAATCAATATTTCTTTTCATAATACATATTTATATGCCTTATTCATACATTTATTTATTGGAAATAAAAAGATATTTTTAATAAATGAACATATTTATCAATTAAATATATAAATATATTGTATAATTTTTACATTATTACTTTATTACTTATCATTAAAGGTATATTGCTTGTAGTTTAAACTACATACCATGTATGAATCATATATTTATATATAAAAACAAGAATGTAATATTTTCTTATAAATTAAATGATTATTAAAAGACATGTAATTATTTACAGTCTTAAAAATCATTTTAATTTATGTAAAAAAAAATTTAAGAATTACCGTAATAATTATATTAATTG